TCGAAATCACCCTGACAGCAAACAGCTCAAGAGCTTACCAGACTGAGTCTGCCGCATACGGTTGCTCTGCCACCGCCTGCATGCAAATGGTTCAATAATGTAGCTTTCTAGCTTGCCCTTTCCTGATCCCCACATCAAAGCCGACCGTGCCCGCGACAACGTCATACATACTTACGCAGGACGAAAGATTTTCCTCTTAAAGTGAAATTGGCCATGAGGAGCTCGCGAGACAAAGTTGGCGCCGCCGAGCGGACGGCGACCGGACGGGGTCTTTGCAGCAACCGGGGGGGGGGGGGGGGAAGTATGTAATCATGTTGACTAGGGCCCGCTCGCGCGGGGAGTTGATGGGGCTGCGCGAGACGACGCAGGGCTCATCGTGAAAAGTAGATTACCGAACCCCCCTACCCCATAGAATCTTAACACGGGCGGTGTGCGGGGTCCGCGGATCCGATTTCTTCCGGTCCCCTGTTTTAATTTAGTAATACAAATTCTAAACAGGGTAGAAGTCGGATCCGCCGTAGAAAAATAAAACCAGACACGGATCCAGCGATTCCGAAATCGGATCCGTACGGACGGAAATCGGATCCACCGAAACAAACACCAAAGCCGCTTTTGGACCCGCGCGAATTTCATGGAATCCGACGGTGGTTATCTCGTACGGGTCTGCTCGAGACCTCACACCGTCGTTCCAGGCCCAAGAGGAAAAAACTTTCGTCCTGGGGATGGGCGTTTTGGCCTGCGGACTCGTTGGTTACCACACGGCCGACACACCACATCTCACAGGCAGTCCTGTGGGTGAGGAGACGCAGGGCCGAAGCGCACTTACGCAGGACGAAAGATTTTCCTCTTGAGGTGAAATTGGACATGAGGAGTTCGCGAGACAAAATTGGCGCCGCCGAGCGGACGGCCACCGGACGAGCTCTTTGCAGCAACCGGGGGGGGGATGTATGTAATCATGTTGACTGGGGCCCGCTCGCGCGGGGAGTTGATGGGGCTGCGCGAGACGACGCAGGGCTCATCGTGAAAAGTAGATTGCCGAACCCCCCTCCCCCATAGAATCTTAACACGGGCGGTTTGCGGGGTCCGCGGATCCGATTTCTTCCGGTCCCCTGTTTTTATGTAGTAGTATAAATTTTAAACAGGGTAGAAATCGGATCCGCCGTAAAAAAAAAAACCAGACACGGATCCAGCGAATCCGAAATCGAATCCGTACGGACGGAAATCGGATCCACCGAAACAAACACCAACGCCGCATTTGGATCCGCGCGAATTTCATGGGATCCGACGGTGGTTATCTCGTACGGGTCTGCTCGAGACCTCACACCGTCGTTCCAGGCCCAAGAGGAAAAAACTTTCGTCCTGGGGATGTAACTGGCTCCAACTACGCGCACATAGCGTCGACCGTCGCTGTTTACTTCCTGTGCGACGCACAAGGATCCGACGCATGACCCGTTCGTCGACCCGCAAACGGTGGTATGGGAATGTCAGATCCACCTGATAGGATACAACGGACAGTAAAAGGTTCCTGAAGCAGCTTCGGAACATGAGGGCCTCAGGTGCGCTGGATTTCTGCGCAAAGGGCCAGGATATCGAGCAGAAGGAAGAGGGGCCATGGGAGGCGGCACCGCCTCTGGATTTCTAAAAAAACGTCAGCCTCATGCTTACGGCGGGCATCGAGGATGAGCAGGATGAGGAATAAGTAAAGGAAGAACTTCTGGAAACCTCGATCTTTTAATCTCGAGGCCCCCCCGGCTTGATCGATCCGCTGGCCATGGGCAGACCACTGGGTGCAGCGACACCGCGTCGTCGGGTAGCGCCGCCAAGTACGCCGAGTGGCCTGAGGCTGCCCCGGCGAGCCGCCCCCGCGCCACGCGGGCCGCCAGTCGGAGGAGAAAGCTCCACCCTCCGAAGAGAAAGCCGAAGCAGCAGCACACGCAGAAACTTTCGGATGTCTGCGTGGATCTCTCGGGCCGGCGCTGGGTGCCCCCTTCCCGAACCCCTGGCGGCGCCTCTGGAGCCGCACCCGGCGCGCTCCGCGAGCCGAAGAGGGGATGCGGGAGAGAAATCCGAGGCCGACCCACGAGATCCAGGCGGACCTCCAGACATCATTCACACCTACATTGTTTGGGCCTTTTCCAGGCTTCCTTCGCAACCAGGAGAAGCGACAGGGCCAAATGGGAGGGGGTGCGGCATGTCCAACACATTTGGGCCCTGGAGGCCCGCTCTGGGCTCTGGGAACGTTCTCGGGGACGCCACGAACAACATTATGTCCACGGACCGCGGGCGCCTTCCTCCTCCTCCTCCTCCTCCTCCTCCTCCTCCTCCTCCGCGCCCTCCGCGCCCTCCTCCTCCTCCTCCTCCTCCACCTCCTCTGACTCGGGCACCGCTGCTGCCAAGCCATTCCAAGCCACTCCAAACACCAACTCTCCCTTGAGGCCTCGCTTTGCAATTGGGAACGGGAAGGTCGGGGGCCCGACACCGTGGCTTTTTCAATCTGGAGTCTTCGGAAACCCGACCCCTTACCAGTGGCATATTTTTCATCGCGACTCGACTCTTGATGGCCCCAACTGGAACACGCCCGCGGTGGCACCGACGACGAATCTCGTTCTCGAAGTGGCCATGAGCTGCAGGTGGTTTTGGTCCCGGACCTTTTGGCCCCCACCTCTCGAGTAAGGACGGGCCGTCCCGGTCTCCCTCTAGGCCTACCACGAAATGTTCTTAGAGCAAGAGGATCTTCTGGAAGCAAAACCAATACTCTTGGAACATGAAGTCGATGTACTTGGTCAAAACAGCCTAAGCAAGATGTGTCCTAAGAACACATCGCGCAGAACATAAAAAACATTGTCCCCTGGGGCAACTAATTTGGCGCGTCGCTCTCCGCAGGACGTGAATAGACTCGCGCTCTCGCGCCGCCCCCACGCCCGCCACTCGCTCTCGCTCTGACATCGTCTAGACCGCGAAGCGCGAATAACTTCGCACCCTCGTGCTGGCCCTAGCTTCCTCGACCCCTCGTCCCCGACGGTTCCGTCCCCACCTCGGCACTTCGAGCAGGGGATCGAACCCCACAACTGATTTTCCAGTCGGATCTGGGACAAAAAACGTAGACTGCGATCTTCTCACATTCTGCGCGTTTCTTTTTCGTAGGTCCGACGCACGCGGCAATTCTGGGGCACATCGATTCTGCAATCGACCCCATACCCGAGGCCCCCCCCCCCCCGAGCTTGGCGCCCCCGAGGGCAAGGACCCGCTTTCTTGGCATCGGGGAAGCGAGTCCTGAGGGCAACTGGTCCTGGACCCTGGGGCCTTCCCCCACTGCGAGAGCTTTCGTCCCGAGTCGTTCTCTGAGCCCCGGGGCCCGTGGAGGGCCCCCGAGGGCCCGAAAGCGGCGAGAAACCTCAGGAGGAGGAGGAGGAGGAGGAGGAGGAGGAGGAGGAGGAGAAGGAGGAGGAGGAGAAGAAGGAGCCTTTTTTTACACGACGAGTGAGCCCATAGCCACTGAGAAGCGGTGCGGTACAATGAGCGGCGAGCTGTCGCAGGACCACCGAACGATCCTATACTATGGTCCACCACGCAGGCCTGGGGCGCGCGCCTCCGCGCGTCGAAACACGAGAGGCTGGCAGTAGCAGGCAGCGAAAGACACTCTGAGTGTGCCGTCGATCTCACACGGTACAGCTGGCAACATCAAGAATAGAAGACGCCTTGCTTTGTCCGCCGGAAAAAAACCGACCCCTTTCAGTCCAAAAGGGTCGGTCTCCGTTCAAGCATAAAGGAAGACGATTGGGGACCAGGCGCAAACCTGAGGTCCCGCAGCGGAGTGGGAGGTCAGCAATGCGCCAGACACCCTCAGCCGAACAGAAAGAGGGCTGCCTCTTCCTCTGGCTCGTCTTCCCTAGGCCATTGCACGCTAGTGGGCTCGCGATCGGAGGAGCTGGAGGAGGGGAGTCTAGGAAGGGACTGCACTGTGCCGCCGACGGTCTCTCCTCGCACAAAAAAAATGGGTCGGCTCAGCCCGTCTGCAGCACGTCTACCCAACTCGCCAACTCGTCCTCCAGCCACCCCGCGGGCGCCACGCCCGTCATCCTCGTCGCGATGCCCTCCGTCTTGAAGGCGTGCGTGACGGTCCCGCGGAGCGGCCAATGAGGTGCCGCGAGCAGCAGCTTGGCCTTGGACTCGTCGTGGGGCTGCTCGATCTTGATGGCCGGCACGTCTAGCTCCAGCTGGTGGCGGTCGATATGGGGCTCGCCGCCCGTGGGCGGCTCGATCTGGTCGAGGTACTCTCCTAGCTCCTTCTTCCATCGTCCTCCCACGTCGCAGCTCATGAGCGTCTCGACCAGGGTGACCGCCAGAGAGGCTGTGGGGCTGCCAAACTGCCGAAGCTGATCTGGACCTTGCTCTCTGGCGGCCCGCACGGCCTTGCGGTACTCTTCGAGCGTCTTCTGGAGCTGCACGACGACGATGTGGTCCTTCGGCATAGTGAACGCGTCCACCACCGTCGCCATCGTGAGGCGCTGGCGCTGCGCCAGCTGTAGTGTGAGCTTCGCTATCGTGGTCAAGCACTGCTGGAGGTTCGCGTCCTTGCTCGTCCACTTCTTCTCCGTGTGGCCGCCGCGGCGGTGGCGGCGACCGCCGCGATGCCTCCCCCCTTCCCCCCTCCCTTGCCCTTGAGGATGGACTCCAGCCGGTTGCCCTCCGCCGCCGCCGCCGCCCCCTTCATCTCCATGTCCCCGTCCTTGTCGCCCGTCCTCCCCTTCATGTGCTCGGGGGGCTTGGAGTCGCTGCCAGAGCGCCCAGACGCCTGGGAGGATGCCGCTGGGAGTGGAGTCCGCCGCGCCCCGGCCTGGCCTTGCTGGTGTTGTGGCCGCCGTCGCTGGAGCAGCGTGGTCGGGCATCTTGTGCTTGTTCTGGTCGTACTCGTGGCAGAAGGAGCGGTGCACTCGCTGCTGTCACTCGCGCAGGCTGTGCCCGCGCAGCCGGCGGCCACGAGGTGGCCTGGGGGGGGCGAGGTGCGGCCGCCCGTCGTCGAACAGGTGGTGCTTCTCGTTCTCGTCGCCGTTGCCTGCGTCGTTCAGCAAGCCGTTGATACGCTGCACGTAGTTGTAGTCGAAGTTCTGGGGTGTCGCCCAGGTCGCCGAAGGTCGGCGGCGGGGCGTCCTGCTTCGCCGCGCCCGTCGAGGCGCGGGAGCTGTGTGCTGGCTGAGTCTGCGCGACTTTGAGCCGAAACCCTCCGGACGCGTGTGGGATGTGTGTCGCCAGATGTGTCCGAAGCTCTGTGGCATCATCATAATGAAGTTGGCACTCCGGTCGATCCGAATCCTCAGCCAGCGGGCGCTGTGTGTCAGAAGAGGGCACCCATTCATACGTGTGACGCGTGAGGTTCGGTATGCACTTCCCTGCTCTCCATGCTCCACGGATGTGCTTTCTGGTGTAATCCACGCTGGCGAAGATCGTCTGGCAACTGAGGCACCTGTTATCAAGCGTGATGACTGACGATAACGGCGGGGGGCCATGGCCTGGGAGTGTTGTCGCATTTAGCTGATGTTTGACCAATTCCCTGTTGGTAGCGAATCTTGCACGGCGCCCCTCGATGCCGCAGAGCAGCGGTGCCATCTCGGCCTCGTCGCTCTCCGTGTCCCCCACCTCCTCCTCCTCCCTCGGTAATTGTTCCAGAAGAAACTCGGGTGGGGCCCATTCGCGGGCCAGGATAGCCGTCCTCAACGCTCGAAAATCACAGTTCCTGAAAGCCTCGGTGACCTCGGGGTTCCCGAAACAATTAGCAATCGCACGTGGCTGCCGTACCTCCTCAACCTCCTCTCCTATCGGGTGGGCCAGGACCGCTTGCAAGTCTTGGTAGAACTGCTGGTCCCAAGGGTGGGCGAGCTGAGACGGGTTGAGCTCACCCGTCGGCAATACTGTAACATCCGCTGCTTCATTGCCCGCCTCTCTCGTTCGCTGTTCGAATGGGTACTCTCCGAAGAAGATGCTCAGGTAGTGTCTGTGATGCTCTGGGTTCCCTGCGATAGATTGCCACCACCTCAATCGACAGACCATCAACTCGATGCTGCTCGGGGGTATTTGCCACTCCTGAAAGATCTGTCGTGCCGTCCATGAGTTGCGCGTGCCATCGTGGTGTTCAACATGCGCGCGTCCGTGCAACATAGCTCTCATCTTCTTGGCTAGTGACGTGTCAAGTTCCCCCTCCTCGTTAGCGGTAAGAACGCACGCCCCAAGCCCCGCCCATACTCGTCCTGCTACGTTCGCTAGAAATGTACTACGCATGCGGCGCCATGGCCCCGAAGAGAACCAATACTGTCGGAGATTGCTCCACCCAATCGACCCTGCTCTGATGCGTGCCCTGATTTCCCTCCCATTGCTCCCCTGCACATGGATATACCCGCCCAGGTGGATGAGGTTGGTCATGGGTCGCCCTGAGATACGAGCCTCGGCCTCCTTTGTATCCTTCACCGTTGCCAGATGTACTAGGGGGTCCTGTTTGTCGACGTGCTGGGCGTAGCCGCCCTCTCGAAGGTAGCGGTCTAGGATGCGATTGTCCAGATGATCTAACTGCAGGGCCTCGGTCACTGTGCCTGTGGGTATGATAATAAATCTGATCAGGTCATCAATAAAGCACCCGAATGATGCATCGTCAACCTGATCGTGCAAAGGTCCCTGGCATAGTAACTCATCGCCTATGATGCTGCTCAACTCTCTCTGTCACGCGCCAATGAGGGGGTAGAAGGGTTCCATGCATAATTCAGGCTCGTTCGAGTCCCCCATCCTACCGCCCGTGTTGGGGCGGAGTGTAACGTCACCATCACATGCTTGATAATACATAATGCCTGTCTGTCTGTGGTGCGTCAGCAACTCGTCGTAGTACTCATCCACCCCCCGTGACCTGCGTGCGTTGAACAAACGCTCGTGCGTGCCCGTGCCGAAAGCATTTCGCATATCATATGACTTGACCAAGTAGTAATGATGACACCGACGTAGTTTCCACATGGAAAGTTTGATGTTGATCATGAGCCCCTCCCTCCTCCTGTGAACGATGCCGCCGTGCGCCCATGGAGGGGGGTCGAACCGACTGCCGAAGTCTACCAACCCAACGCGCAGTAGCACTCTCCACCAGTGGCAAAAGCAATGCAAGAGGCGTAGACACTTAGTGATGTCCATGACTGTGTCACCCGTAAGGGTTTTGCCTGGCTTGCCAACCGCGATCGCATGGCTGACGCGCGCGTGCTGAGGGAAGTGTTCACGTGCACGTATATGCGCCAAGAGCTGGATAAACATGTCGTGCCCCACTTGCGCGTGCTCTGAATCTATGATGAACATCCTCCGTGTTCGGGTCGAAACTGTCAAAGCCTCGAAGTCCAGCAGATCGGGATCATGTCGACGCCATGTAGAACCTATGCCTTCTCTAGGGTGTCCTGGGCAGAATAGCAGGGATGGAAACAGCAACATCTTGGTGACCTCGACGGGCCATGACCACGGTGGTGCGTATCTACGATGCGTGCAATGCATAATGCGCTTCCTGACTAGATCGAGATCCTCACCTGCGCTCGTGAAGTCATCCGTGGTCGGGAGGGAGAGACGAGGCCCGCGCGCTGGGAGGTCCTCCAGGGGGGTCTCTAGTAGTTTCTGGACGGCCTCTGTGGTCATGTACTTGCTCATGTGCGCGTCCGTCGTGCTCAGCCCCCCTTCGACGCCAAGCATGCTCATCGCTCGTTTGAAATCGTCGGCGCGCGGGCGGCTCGTCGGGAGGGCCAGATAGCATCTCTTACGAGGTCCCATGCAAGTGCCCGCCCTCTGACGGATGAGGTATCCTACCCGTGCTTGGTCACGAACCGCCCATGCCTCCCTTATCTCCTGCTCGAGTGACTCCCTCCTCCACCTCTCCTGCCACCGTCGATGCGATCGAAGCTGATGATCGAGGCGACGAAGAAGTTCGCTCGAGAAGCTAAATCCCAAATCTCGCAACTCGGCCCGCTGTCGAAGTAGCCTCGTCCTCTCCTCCTTGGCCTTCCCAACCCATTAGGGGGTAGACCGTTCCACCGAGAACACCTCCGAAACAGCCTGACGGACAATATGTGCAACCACTCCTGCATGCCGCGTGGGTTCTCCGTCCATGGTGAGTGCTCGGCATAGGGTGCGATGCTGATTCCAGGCATAACACATCTTACTCATGAACTCCTCTCTCCTGTGGCCCTTCTGTAGTGCTGCTGCTAACGCTCCCCAGTCCCATGTGCATGCTGGCACACGGAACTGCAAATACATTGGCACGTGATCTATCATGTGCGGGAGGGCTTGCAAGCGGCGCTGGGATCCCCAGAACATGCGCATGTGTGTTCCAGTCTGGAGTAAGTCACGGGGGCCCAGGAAATAATCTATACGACTACGGGCTCCACTAAGGCCGTAATAGCTATACCCAAGATCATGATGTGTGTTAAGGAAGGTCAAGCGGCTCTCCTCGAATTGCTTGCGGACAAAAGTAGACATCTCATCTTCATTGCCAGCCTGGTATGGGCCCACGGTCTCGTCATCAATAAGCTCAGGGCCTTTCTTCCCCATGCGCAGGTTAAGGTCGGCAAAGATAATGGGGATCACGCGCGCCGGTGTGCTGCCGACCTGTTGCCTGATCCATTTGGTCAGTTGCTTGCACGTGGCCCGCCATCTCGGTAGTCTGCGCGTCGTGCTCACGCGGGGTGGGTAATACCCCACTATCAGTCGAAACCGTTGTGGGCCCCGCTCGATGTCCACACTGCCCGCCCGTCCTTGGAGGTGTGGCGGAGGATACGTGATACGAATAATATGGCGGGTCTGGTACAGCCTAGTAGATACTGCAATAGAGACGCCCGCCGACGCGTTCGTGTTCGATCCCCGCCCCCACCCCCAGTGGACCCAGCGAAATTCGGGGGTATGCTCGTAATGGTGAGGTTGGTGAAGCCGCATCGGGATCTTAGTGCCAGGGATGAATAGCGCGGGCCCACGTGCGAACTCCATTCCCATACTCTCCACTCGTCCCGTACGCATCCAGGTGAAAGGATCGAACCCAATAAATGATGTCCTGGTCATCCATGCCGATGATGGTGATGATGCCGCTCCCCCACCCGTAAGGGCTCCTGGTCGGGGCTCTTCGGCAGATGCCTTGAGAGGCCGCATGTCGCAGCGGGCCTGAGCAGTCCGTGGCCTTGGAGGAGAAGGAGGAGGAGGAGGAGGAGGAGGAGGAGGAGAAGAAAAAGGAGCACCCGTTTTCAGCAAGGAAGCCGAAAAGCACCGATACCGCTACTCCTCGGACCTTTCCTGGGGCGCGTTCTGCCCAGGACTTCGAGGCGAATCCGGCCGTGGCGACGAGGACCTGCCAGGAGGCCCCCAAAAAAGGAGGGGAAAGCGAGGGAGGGGCGCAGGGGGCCACAAGGGCACCTCGCCCCCTGCTCTGAGCGGCACCCGCCTCCCCCGTGGCGAGCTTGCCCCCTCCGAGCCAGAGCGGCGAGCGCACGCCGGCCCGCGCCCGACGCCAGCAGCGGCGGGGCGCCGCGCGCGGCGGCCGCCTGGGGGGGCAGCGCGCGGTGGCGCCGGGGAGGTGCCCCCGCCGCTGCCGCAAGTGGAGCAGTGGCGGGGCGTCCTGGCGTGGTCAGAGGCCTACAGTCGGACTTGATTGGAGAGGGCACGCGAGAGGACACGAGACCCTTCCGAAGGCCACATCGCCACAGCAGTGTAAGAAGGCACGTGTCGCGAGGCACAGGCCACAAGGGTACCCTTGAGCTGGCAGGGCCGACCTACTAATCCGGGCCGACTGTACCAACCAATGTTCTCTGAGCACCTAATGTGGTGTCCACGGAATGTTCTTAGACCATTTCTGGCTGGGGCGGTCTTGTTCTAGCACATCGGTTTTATGCTCTGAAGACCTTGGTTTTGTTCTTAGCGCATTTGGGGGTTCTAAGAGCATTTCGTGGTAGGCCTATAAGAATGCCGGGACGGTCGGTCCCTGCTCAAGCCAGGACCACGGCCGGGCTAACAGCGATGTCCCTTAACGGTGATGATGGGATACAAACTGCTGTAGGAAATCACGGGCCACATTTTCCTACAAATGCAATCTGCGAGTGGATCGAACGAACACGACACAGCGAATTGTAAGGAAAGCGCGAGCCGCGCTCCCA